TCTTGAGGTGAAACATGCAAATATTTTAACAATTTGAGCATAAACTAAAAATAGTAACTAGCATAAATTATAATTGCCTTTTTACACCTAACTTTGTTATGTTTAAAGATTTATAATATCATAGCATTTTTTTTTTTTTGTGGCGTAAAATTATTTTTTAAAATGGTTCTATTTATATCCTAGTTTTCAAAATTACAAAATTTTATACTTTGCTTTAATGCTTTCACCAGTGCCCACATCAAACTTTCAACACTACTTTTGAGAACCATTGATTTATCATACGTTAGTTATATATATGATTAATATTTCACCTTTATCATTTGTTAGAGGTTAAGAAAATTTGTTAAAATTTCTTTAAGATCTAACCATTTCTAAATGTAAAAATAAACTTGATGATTCTTATTTCAGTATATTTTTCTCCCGCTGACAAATCCACAGACAAATATAACATTGCTCAACTCTTAGTGTTTTATCATGGTGCAAACAGTAATTTTGATGTTCTCTCTTTGTTTCACACTTGAATCTTTTATGTAAAGAGTCTCACTCAGAGGAAAGTCGCTCCATTCTTTTCTTTTTTTTTTTTTTTTTTTTTTTTGCCTTAAATTTCTTTTTTGTTGTAGAAACCTTACTATCTTCATGTGACCTTGCTAGATATGTTGACATATTGTTTACATTTTTCACACTATTGTCCTGGACCCAGTCAACTAATGGAATCTGTCCATGCTGATGCTTCCAAAACCATTTTTTTTCCATATCTTCAATTTTTTCCCTACCTTGAAGTGTGAAATAAGTATTTAGACTTACTTAGACCCTCCTTCACCTCCAGCCCATTGCGCGGCAAGCTGTCTCCACAAAGATCTGGCAATGTCTGAAGCCTCTTCCCACCTGGTGTCCACTGCTGTGAGGTTCTCCATGAAAGTGTGGCACCAAGTTAAATAACAATGTCCCTGTTTGCACTTTCCTCGTATTGGCCTCCATGTCATTGCAACTCTTGGTTTGCGTTACTCATTCTGTCAAGGCATGTTCCGCAAACCTCATGCAACACACGTTCACAACTTCATTAATCAACTCCCAGTTCAGCATAGGATTTCTTTGAGACTCAATCTCTGTAACTGACTCCTAAAATCCGACTTAGACATTTTTGTTGAGACATTTAGTCTTTTCTCAATTTTGCTAAATACAGGCATAGATAATTATTTATTTTAGTTCTTGCTGACAGAAGCTTCTTAAAAAAATCATACATTTTCTGAAAGATACTGTTGTATTTTATGACAGAGCTACACTTTGTTTCAGATCCGCGTAGAAGGCAATGTGGAAAAAGTGTCAGAGGAAGAGTCCAATAATTATTTCCACTCCAGGCCAAGAGACAGTCAGATTGGAGCATGTGTGAGTCAACAAAGCCAAGTTGTTGCTTCTAGGAAGGTAACTTATCTTCAAATATAATTTAGACATATATTTCTTCTTTTAAATGGAAGTACTGCTCTATTGACTCAAAACATTGTTTGCTTTTTTTTATTCAATTAAGAGTTGAATAAATAAAAAGACATACATAAACATTTTGCAAACCATCTTTATGTTGGCTTTAGGTTCCAGTCCCACATGTCCATGTCAAATCATTAGCCGGGCTGTTACTAGAAGAACTTGATTGTAAATGCTCACTGTGAAGACTTGTTGCAATATTGAAGCATTACAAGAAATAAATTAAATGAGAAATGATAGATAAGCATCAGCTTCATAAAGTAGGAATTAATTTTTTTTAAATCTTTTTTTCATATTACTTGTTTTAGACTATTGATGACAGAAATGAAGAACTTCAAGAAAAATATAGCGACCCCAATGTATTAGTTCCTAAACCTGACTATTGGTAAGTGCATAATCTTATCTTATATAATACAGACGTTACTTCAAAAAAGAAGATGATTACATCCTACGCGTCATGCATTTAGTCATGCATATAAACCAATGACTTCAATTCTGCCAAGTCACTGGTTTTCCTGGCTAGCTCAGGCAACCCATTCCATGCTCTAATAGCACTAGGGAAGAAGGAGTATTTGTACAAATTTGTCCTAGCATATGGGACAAGGAATGTGTCTTTATTTTTGTGTCTCTCAGAGTATTTTATTAAATTTTGTATTTGAAGATTATGGTTAAGTGTTTTATGCATAATTGCTACTTTACTTTTGAGTCTTCTGTCCTGAAGGCTTTCTAAATTTAGTGATTTTACTAATGGTGTTACTCTAGTCAAATGTGAATATTCGTTTGTTATGAATCTCACTGCTCTATTTTGTGTTTGTTCCAGTTTCTTAATGTTTTCCTGAGTTGAGGGGTCCCAAACGGAGGATGCATATTCTATTATTGGCCTAACCAAGGTTAAATAACATTTTTGTTTTATGTTCTTATTTGATTTATAGAAATTTCTTTTAATAAACCCTAATGCTTTGTTGGATTTTTTTATAGTTTCATCAATTTGTGGATTCCACAACAGTTTTTCATTTATTATAACACCTAGGTATTTTGCGTTTTTAGTCTGTGTTACTGGTTTACCATGAATAAGAAAAGTGGAATTAATTTGTTTTAGCTTTTTTGTTACTCTTAACAACTGACATTTTTCTGGGTGGAAAGACATGCTCCAATTTGATTCCCATTTCTGTAATTCATCTAATTCTCTTTGTAAAATATCTGTCTTGTGTTGTTTTTATTGTTCTATATATTATGCAATCGTCTGCAAATAATCTAACTTTTGTTCCTGAACTAATGCAATTTGGTAAATCATTTATGTAAATTAAAAATAGTAGTGGACCCAAGACTGTTCCTTGAGGTACACCTGAGTTTACTGTTATTGGTGTTGATTTAGAGCCATTTATTATTACAGTTTGTTCTCTCCCTATCAGAAAATCTTTAATCCACTGATGCAGTGGACCATTAATGCCGAAATATTTTAATTTTTTAAGCAAACTATGATGGTGGACTTTGTCAAAAGCCTTGGAAAAATCTAGTAAGATAGCATCTATTTGTTCACTATTGTCTAAACCTTTTGAAAAATCATCAATTAGTCCTATTAGTTGTGTTTCACATGATCTATATTTCCTAAAGCCATGTTGGTATGGGGTGAGGACATTATGTTTGTCTACATGGTTTATGATTTTGCTACATATTATGTGTTCTAGGATTTTACATTTGATACTGGTCTGTAGTTTCCTGGGTCAGATTTTTCTCCTTTTTTAATAGGGGGGTGACATTAGCTTCTTTCCAGTCCTTTGGTTCTCTGTCTTGGTTAAGCGATGCCTGAAAGAGTATTTTGAACACTGGGGCTAGCTCATTGCTTAGTTCTTTGAGTAATCTAGCTGGATTACCATCAGGTCCAGACGCTTTATTTGGTTTGGTGTTGGCTAATAGTTTTTGAATTCCATTTTCTTGTACTACTAAATCTTCTATGTTGTCTACTTGGTTCAAATTAAGAAATATGTCTTTGTCTCCTGGGGCTGAGAATGCTGATGCAAAGTATTTGTTTAGAATGTTTGCTTTAGTTTCATTATCATTATGTATTATGTTATGTTCATCTTTTAATGGCGCTATGCCTGTTGTTTCCATTTTCTTAGACTTAATGTATGACCATAGGTTTTTGTTGTTATCTTTAGATATTACATTGTTTATGTATTCACTCTGCAGCTGTCTGCTTACTTTTGGGGTTAGGTGTTTAATTTTTATATACTTTTTGTAAACTCTTTCTGCCTTGGTTTCTTTAAATTTTCTATATAGGTTTTCCTTTTGTTTACAAAGCTTCTTTAGTCTATTATTAAACCAGCATTTATTTATTTTGTTTGATGTGTATTTAGTTGGTATATGATTTTATATAATGCTTTTAAGATGGTTTTAAATGAAATTCCAGAGGTCATGGACTGGTTGGTTAATGTCTTTTTCTAAAAAGAATGTTTGTTGAAATTTTAATGCAGCTTGGTGTAGTTGTGTTAGGTTACATTTATTCCAGAGTAAGATTTTTCTTTTGGGTTTAGTATTGGCTACTGCTTTTATCTGACTGTATTTTTATGATCTCATGGTCTGATTGACATTAAGTTTAAACATATATTTTTCAAAGAAAAGAAAACTTTTATTTTTACAATAACATTTCATTTAGTTTTTCTAAACATTTACTTGATATGCTAACCTTTTTTTTTTTGTAGGGGTGGTTACAGAGTCGTACCAAATAGATTTGAATTCTGGCAAGGTCAGACTAATCGCCTGCATGACCGTTTAGTATTCCGCAGACTTAAAAATGGCGAAAGCTTGGATCCAAGTGTGACACATGAAGGAAATAATGGCTGGGTCTATGAAAGACTTATGCCTTAATAAATATTGTGTACAATTTTCTTATTTTATGGATAAAGTGTTGCTTTTTAATGTCTGATAACAGCAAGACTTTTCAGGTTTTATTTGTATTTGAAAGGATATATCAGAAGATATTGAGTTACTTTGTTATTTTTGTAAGTACAATTTCATTCTTGTAAATAAAGTAAATGGACAATCTAAAATATATCCCATTTTGTCCATTTGTCTTTCCAAATATGTACAACTAGCTTCTTAAAAAGTGAATGTGTGTAGTCATTAGAATTACACTAGTGTTTAGATCAGTTCAGTCTCTTTGTGTAATTTTTGTTCTAGTTGCAACGTGTCAGTTGTAATTAAAGATATGACTAGTTTATTTATAACACCATTTGTTTATTTTCATGTATTCTGACATTATCAAGGCATTACATATCTAGATTGTCTGTATATAGTATGGATGTGTGTACATCTTTTTTTCTGGCCATTCATTCTTGTTCATATTTAATTTGTCATTTTAAATTGAGTCAGTCTACTTTTGAGAAACAAATCCAAATTTTATTTTTATTGTAAAAGTTTTTTTATGGTGTCATTATAATTAATTAGAGTCAGAAGGGAAAAATGCTATTTGAACATGTCAGGTATTTGGAAGCACAATTTAGTTTTAGCAGATATTCTCTTAATTAAACAATCCCTGTGGCATTAAGTATAGATTTCATTGCAATATTGGAAGTTATACATGATGAAATAGGATGGGGGACAAGTACCAACCTAAAACTAATAAGACTAATTGAAATGACAAGGGCAGGTCACTTTGAAAGAACCAAGAAGCAGCAGACCCAAGGGCAATAACAAAAAGAAGAGTCAGCAATACAATATTGAATTATATGATTGGCAAAGAGCTCAGAGATCTAAATGGAAAGATTTGTGGAAGCATTTTAAGGCTCTTCATAATTTGCAAGTCACTAGTATGAATATAAGCAGTAGGCCAGGTACCTAAGTACCACAATTATTTATAAATTTCATATCATTTTAAATAATTTTTTTTTAAATAAAAGGTATGTAGATTGACATATTGATTTCCTTTTATTTTATTTTTTAAAAGAAATGTCTAAATTGTTTCATTCCCTAAGATTTCATATCTTTATTACACACATTTGTTCATACATGTATTTTATAACAGAGAATCTTTTTCTTAACCTTTTTGTAAAGACAGAATTATTTTTGTATTAAAATGTAAGCAGTTTTGTGTGTGCTGTATTATGGTGTTTACATTTATTCAAGAATTCATTTCTCTTCATTGTCTCTTTGACTTTATAAATCCCAATCTTGTTTTTCTGAGAAATAGATTTTTAAAATGATTTAGGACCATTAGGACATTTTTGTACTTCATTTCCATACCCTGCACTCTCTTTCAAATCCCTAGACTTTTCAATCCCTAGACTTCTCTTTTCAATCCCTAGACTTCTCTTTTCAATCCCTAGACTTCTCTTTTCAATCCCTAGACTTCTCTTTTCAATCCCTAGACTTCTCTTTTCAATTCCTTGATTTCTCTTCTAGGACTTTCCTTTATTTCCCTTCTCAGATTCCTGGCCTGTAATTCAGTTTAAAATGAATCTTTCATATTCAGACCCTATGGTGCAATCTCTTTTGTGGACCTATGGGGGATGGGGGGGTATTTAAGAGAATGTTTTCTTGCTTCCTTTAGGCGCTCATCAAACAAAACTCAGTCTGAGTCTGGAATCAAACTCAAGCCCCCCTCGATGTGTAGCCTTCATCTTCAAAAAGAAATATTTCAGACTGAAAATATCACTGCAAAACTAAAATATATTTTATTTTTGGTTGATTAGAATTCTTTGCTACCCATCTAGATCAGGGTGGCTGAGCGGTTAAGCGCTTGGGTTCCAAACCAGAGTAAAGGCAGTTGGTCGTTGTGCTGGCCACATGACACCCTCGTTACACTAGGCCACAGAAACAGATGACCTTTACATCATCTGCCCTCTAGACAACAAGGTCTGAAAGGGGAACTATAATTTACATTTAGATCTATATAAAATCGCTTTGCAATTAAAGATAGATCTAAATCAGACAATGTGGTTTTCTTACTTTTTGACATTAACTCCCATCTTTCTGTCTTCCATTATTCATATTGGGACAAGGTGTTCACTAGGCCTAATTGGAATAAAAAAATGCTTTCCAAATATGTGGTTGCTGGTCTAGCAGAGAGTTCTGATATTGTACCAACGGTTCTCTTGAAGTCACTTCTTTCTAGATCTTGTCTGAATTTGATTTTAAATTGACATAAGTAGCAGAAAGTCATTTTAAATGATCAAATAAACTTTTTATTTTTTTAAAATAAAATCAATTGTAATGCCCACGCCTTATTTTATTAAAGTGGCTTAACTAGCATACAGAGTATTGAATGTGAATTTCAATGTGTTTTTATGGAGTTTTGTCCCTTACTATAGACACAAACGATTGCTGATGTATATATATTATATTATAATGCTATAGATTGTTTTGTAAAATGTTTTACATGTTTTCGGATGTTCCTTCAGAGTTGAAGATAGTTTACTTCCTAGTCCAAACCTCCCGCAGGACGACGGGGCATGGGAGCGGGCAGGGTTTGATTCTTATATTTCATTTACAAAGTGGGATATCTTTCTTAAAAAGAAATCAAAATAAAGTAATATAGTAAATTTATAATATAGTTCAAAAGTGAGGCTAAATGTGATAGACAATCAAATAGAACTAAACGTCTCTATGTGTCAGTCCTCACATATTTTTTTTTTGACCAATCCTCATGCTGAATTGAATGAGCGACCACTGTTTTATTCAAATACATCATCAAAATGATGTTGGATATGTGGTAAAAATACGACCGTTTTGACACAAGGAAATCCATATCAGTTTGAAATGTCTATTTCAAAGCGCTGTGAGTCTATATTGTTGCAGACGCCTGTCATTAAAATAGCCTAGGTCTAGGGTACATTTATAAAAAAACATAAGGTGAAAGTCTCTCACTAAAAGTATTATTTTTTTAAATTTTATAATTTTATTTGGTTAATATTCCAATATGGATTTAGTTTTACTTACAGTTTTACAATGTGTGTGAATGTTGTTCGAATTTTTAATTTATATTGTTTTTGTACAGTAGTTACGCTGAGCTTGTCAATTGTAGTCAAACTGAATTTCCATTAGATTGGATCAATAAAAATTATCTTATCTTTTCCGTCCCTTAAGAAATAAATAGACCGGCCTTTGTTAGGACTCCTGTGTATGTGTGTGTGGGGGGGAGGAGGGAAATAATTTAAAGCCCTATGGTGTCAACTCAGCATCTGCACAGTGAATAGTAGGTCTCGTCTTTTTATTGTTAGGCCGCCCCCAAGTGTCCTGTCTCTCAAGATAGTCAAATAGGCTCATTTTCATTGTTGTATTTGTGTTGGTTCCGTTGCAAACTGTGTGCGTGTAACTATCAGTCTGTTTGTAACAGATAGTTCGCGACGGTGTATCTATGCACATATTGACAGATTGTTCGCGACGGTGTATCTATGCACTTATTGACAGATTGTTCGCGACGGTGTATCTATGCACTTATTGACAGATTGTTCGCGACGGTGTATCTATGCACTTATTGACAGATTGTTCGCGACGGTGTATCTATGCACATATTGACAGATTGTTCGCGACGGTGTATCTATGCACATATTGACAGATAGTTCGCGACGGTGTATCTATGCACATATTGACAGATTGTTCGCGACGGTGTATCTATGCACTTATTGACAGATTGTTCGCGACGGTGTATCTATGCACATATTGTCAGATAGTTCGCGATGGTGTATCTATGCACATAAAACTATGTTACAATAGCCCGTTCACGAAACTGTATCTAAGCCATACTGAGACGTGACGTTGTGTCTGTCAGGTTTGTTTATGAATTAATATCAATAATTCAAACAATCAAGCTGGCTTCCCGGTAATGACATCTCTTCTCAACCTTTCGCTCGAACTTTAGAACAACAAGCGAAGGGAGGAGGGCAAAATTTTCAAATATTTCCGGGCACGACATGGCCAAAATTGTGTCGATGTGCCAAAAACTCAAATATTTCCTTCGCTAGGTAGGCCTTATATTTACAATGAAGTGAGATGGTATGTGATGAAATATACAGTAATTACTCAATGGCATCGCAACTACACATGAGGATATAAATCATATTTATAATTCTAGGCTACATTCAAGTACATTCCTCACTTGGCGGTCTCACAAGACGATCGTGTACAAATACTAGTGCCGCATTGACACAACAGAAAGCAATCAAACTTAGCCAAGTACAACGCTGAGACTAGCCCATAGCTAGTGATAGAATGTAGAGATTATACCCACTGTCACTAACTGCAACAACCACTATAGGCAACAGCAAAAACTTATATTAAAAACAAATCTTCATAATATAAAACTACAAAATACTCTACCAGTATTGGTTCGACAAGTGAAAGGGAAATGAAGTTCTACACAAATGAAAGACGCTTCTAAATGGTTTCATTATTTAGTTGAAATGAATGACGATTTTTTTTCTTCCTATTAAACAGGCCTACAGTCTTGCTACCAGTTTTAGTGTTCACTTAGTGATACTGAGAGCTCGGAGGTAGACTCTTAAACAGAATCGAGATTGATTATGAAAAATGCAGTGAAATTGAATGTTTGTCAGCGTTCTTCCACTCTGTGGATATTTTCACGTTGTAGAACATTATCAGCCTACATGAAATATTGACGTTTTTCCCCCCAGTTACATAAATATAACCTTTTTGTTATGTTGTTGTATTTAGCTCATTTATATTGGAGCCGACATAAACTAAGTTTATAATCAAAGTCTCCGATTATTGAGCGTATTGTGTTGTTGAGTAACAAAATAGACTAAGACAAGACAGTGTGTACTTCAAACAGGATAGTGCATAGGTGGAGACAGGTTTTGTTTCGGGAGGGGGGTGATTTGGGGTGGTGAATTTTTTCCTATATATCTATGCTTATCTATGTTTACATACAGGCCTGTATATATCTTTGCTTATCTATGTTTACATACAGCCCTTTATATATCTATGCTTATTTATGTTTACATACAGGCCTATATATATCTATGCTTATCTATGTTTACATACAGGCCTAAACATCTATGCTTATCTATGTTTACATACAGGCCTAAACATCTATGCTTATCTATGTTTACATACAGGCCTATATATCTATGCTTATCTATGTTTACATACAGGCCTATACATCTATGCTTATCCATCTTTACATACAGGCCTATATATCTATGCTTATATATGTTTACATGCAGGCCTATATATCTATGCTTATCTATGTTTACATACAGGCCTATGCATCTATGCTTATCTATGTTTACATACAGGCCTATATATCTATGCTTATCTATGTTTACATACAGGCCTATATATCTATGCTTATCTATGTTTCGCCATTTTGTCTTCCCTATCTACTCAATAACCTTGGCACATCAGGGCTGCTTTTATTATATATGTCATAGCCATAGACATAAATAAATATAGACTGGCCGATTAAAGAGTTTTATGAAACGAAAATTTGTGACTTGCAATTTTGTGTACTTTATTATACAGCATTTATGAGCAGTATAAAAGTTAAGTATCCATATCTATTTCAGCCGTAACCTATATAAGTATTACAAAATTTTCACTAGTGTTTTTTTTTAATCTCTCAGCGTGAAGATCATGCAACGTTTCATAATTCGGAAGTCCGAATACAATAGATCTACAAGTTTTCAAGTTACATGAAGTTACTTCCTTTTTCCAGTCTATATTTATTTATGTCTATGGTCATAGCTTATTGGTAAGCAACTTCCTAATTCCGTACACCGGATATACTAGAAAGCTATTTATAGATGTACACCCATTCGTAAAAATCCCCCACTTCAACGATATTAGCTCTTATGTGAATATAAGCCTTGGACCCTTGGTGAAAATAGCGAAAGAAGAAAAACAAATGTTTTGTCACCACTGCTTGAGCCCTGGCATTGACTCTACTGACCATCTCTGCTGCTTCTGTCCACTGGGTATTACACTCCTTGGTCGTGTTATGATTTGATTACTCAGCAGATCCGATACTTGATCTAATAGTGGACAACACTCGGGATCTGCTGGGGCAAGGTTTTCCATCCTATCCAGTGAATCGATTCGATGCCAGACAAATGCACCCAGCTGGAGGGATGGGAGTGTTCCTCCTTCATCACCCCCCTTCCAGTTCACTGTTGCGACTCACGGAAGATTACAATGTTTTGGAGTTTGACCAAGCGTGAACATCGAGTTGATGCACTTAGAAGAGAAGCGGGAAAACGGGTTTAGGGCGTGTTTGTATGGCTGTGTTAGTTCAAATACTGCGGATCTGATATTGAAAGATGGTCAATATTTTACAATCCATCAATCATCATGTGCTGGTAACGTTTTGAAAAGGGGA